AAACACAAAAGTTTGAGTTGACGAGGGAGTAGCGGTGGGATCATTGGGAGTCTTTCACCACCGTTGGTGTCATTGCCAGGGAGCCAAATTACTCCTCTCTCTAAAACAAACCGGTTGATTGTAAAGCTGGTAAAAAACCACTAAATTAACACTTAAAAACTGTGTTGTGGTATTGAGATGCAGTTAAGTAGAGCACAAGGACGCCGGTGCGAGGGCTGCGAGCCGAGCTGCTGCTCAGCGTCTAGCTCAGCCTTGTTCTCCTGAGTAAGCTTAAGGATCCAGACGTCCGACTGACTAATGATCCTTCATCGGTGTTCAAAAAGCACCGAAGAATCGTAAACACAGGATGTGGATGGTAAAAATTGCTGGTTCAGGACGTGGATAAACAGTCAGTAGTAGTGACAGCTCTGGCAGACAACCACAAACACTGGACGCAGGCACAAAGGGAGGAGGGGATATGACGCCATCGACAGAATAAAATGACAGATTTCTCTGAGTCAATAATATATAATGTAAGTACACAAGAGTTTATAGACATTTAAATGCAGAGATTTTACTCATTATATCTTTAAAAACACCATCTTTTTTAATGATCTGGCTTCTCTCCGCCCTGTGTGTCTGCTCCTCTCTCTCGTCCTTTAGTTTCTAATAAATATACTGGATGGGCAGATGTTGATATTTCATCATGTGACGGGGGGGTAAAAAACGTGGGAATTAAAACTCCAGAAGAACAGCGGGGAAAGGGAAAATCAAAAGGGTTGACATTCATGGGATGCATATTTCATCATTTATCAGAATCAGATCATTTATATCATCTATAATATATCATTTATAATGTTTATAATAGATTAATCAGTGTGTTTTCCTGCCAGATTCGCTCATAGGGCTCAGAGAAAGTAGAGCAGACGCCAAAACTTTTAAATCTGGCTTTTAATTTGGAGTTATAGCCTTAGTTTTTAGGTTTTAATAATTTTTACATTAGCTCTGACTTTTCAAAGCATGAAATTGCTCCTTTTACTACAGTAAAGGGTCAGAACGCTTCCTCCACCACTGCTGAACGGGACACACAGACTGCATGGAAATCAAATTTGTAGTTTAGTTTTGGACGATAAACTTCTTCATCACAGAAATGTGGAAATGTGAGAAAAACAACTTCCTGCCAGAAGGAATATTTGTCTCTGTGGAGGAGGGAGTACATTAGTGTGTATCCCGGCCGCCCTCCCCTCTTGAACACACATTGCTCTCTGGGCGGCCATGTCTCTCTTTATATGGTCCATTTTCTACAGCCAGTTTGAGCTCAGTGAGCCTGTGTGTGTGGTTAATAAACTCTCTGTTTTGGGTTATTTTCAGATTCACAGCGTGAAAACAGCCGAGGAGAGCTTCACGTTCTCACAACAGTTTAGTGTTTGATTCTCCACAAACTTCATTATTCTGCTTATTCAAACACCGTTCAGTGTTTAAGGAGCATTAAATAAGTTTACATCAAAATAAGATGGCACTTTGTTGACTGCATGACCTTTACTTTGTGCCCAACACTTGATTGTTTGGGTTGTAATGAACACTGCAGCCTCTAGGGGGCACTAGCAGAGCTTTACACTGTTACACTTGAGTTCATTTAAGAATTTCTTGACCAATATTTTCATGTAAAACAGTCCACATTGCACTGCAGCGCCTTATATGGACAGACAGTTTCTGTTTGCATACTTATGTCAGACATTTTTATAGATTTTATTACAATTAGTGTCTCATTTGTGTCATTTCCTTCAGTAAAACTGTAATAACATTGTGCTCACCAAGCCAGTTACTGAAATTTGACTGAAAATGAGTCCGATGTGTCAAGAAACACACAAACATCCATAATTTGACAAGTAACAAGCAAAAGAAAGAGGAAAATTTGAGAATAATTTACATAATTCTGCCAAAATTAAATATAATTTGTTCTTCAGGGCTCTCAGAGAGATTTCAAGACACTCTGGAGGATCCCAACTCTTGGTTGCGAACCACTGAGGCTATACTATGCTAAAGCTAGTAGCTTTAACCTGTGATAGATCTATATATAAAACCTTCAGCCAGAAATCAATCCACGTCATCCTGCTTCTTCCACCTAAGAAACCTTACTAACTTTAAATAATCTGTATGTTCTCCTGACTTAAACAGCCTTAATTCACGCCTTTGTCTTGTCGTGTCTGCACTACTGTAACCACTGCACTGTGTACA